GCCACGTGGAACCTAGTTCGGTAAGCGTGCCGACCCTGAGGCCATTGTAGTCAGGGATTCTCAGGATCGCTCCCAACTGAGGTAGTAAGCACTTACACGGTTCCCAGCTCGTTGGTGGTGCCACAGCTCTCGTAGAAAGTAGCCGCTCTATGCCCGCTTTTCCATACCTTTTATCCCGTCCAGCAAAGTTCCTGCAGTGCTACGACTTCGAAGTTGCGTGGTTGAAGTTCGTCATAGATTAACCTATCGCAACCCGGGAAGCCGAGCGATTTGCAGTTCCATGTTCCGAGTTTCCAATCGTAGTCCTTATTTCGTCGCGTAGGTCTGTGCCGATTGCTCCGATCCGTATTTCTTTCTTCGGTATTTTGCAACACTCAGTTGCCAAAGGTATTCAATACTACGTACAAATCCGCGAACTATCCAATAAAGCTATGGGAACGGCGGCCTTCGTAGAATTCCACGATACGCTCTTTGACGTGTTTAATAGTAGGGCAAACAGCAGCTGTAAAAAGGTTATTTGTGTGTCTAAAAAAATGTAATTTGACTTAATAATATTACGTTCTAGCCCTATCGTGGTCCAATCACCGATAAGACACGACTATTGGAGTTTTTTGGAGAAAGCTGAAAACGTACTTCGAAATATGTATTACACAGTCAATACTTGTTTCACTATTCATAAGGTAAACACAATTCTCAATGAACATTTCAAATGGTCCTATTTTCTTTGATCGATTCTCTTCATCGACTTTCTCTTTTGATAATCACTGCTATGCAAACAGATTTCGCAGGTTCTTATCTTGCGTTCAAAACGTAAAATACAACAACGAAAGGTTTTGCAGCTAAGTTATTAATGCAAGAGACCTTTTAAAATGTTTATCTAGAATTCCAAAACCATACGCTATTTCAAAACTACCCAAATTTGGGTACAATCCACCCAGATCGGTCAAAACTGAACCTACCCAAAAATGGGTAAACTGTGTTAGGAGTGACAAGTTGACAAATGAACAACATTGACATGAATCCGATCGACGTTGTTCATTTATCAACTTGTCACTCACAACACAGTTTACCCATTTTTGGGTAGGTTCAGTTTTAGCCGATCTGGGTGGATTGTACCCAAATTTGAGTAGTTTTGAAATAGCGTGCATTTTAAAATTCAAGCTAAACAGTGCATTTGGTCCTAAGCAGCGTTGCCAGATATACCGATTTATCGGTATTTATACCGATTTTCAAACTTGATACCGATATACAGATAAGGTTTCTCAGAATACCGATTTTTTAGTTTTAATACCGATTTATACCGATTTTTTTTTTATTAAGAATCAAAATGATTACTGCCTGCCCCAACTGAATTCTCAGAGGAACCTATTGTGAGAGACTTTAATCTTTTAAAATTTTTGAGTCAGCTCTAAAAAAAATTCATCTTCAAATCTCTTATGCTTAATACTTTTTCGACTAATGCTTCCATTTCCTCGCCGTTTTTGGCTACTAAGGAGTTGAGAAACAGCTGATGGCTCATCCCAGTAATTTTTGGAAATCAGTGGCAAAATAGGTCCACAAAAACGTTAATTTTTGAACTTCCTGAAATTTCTTTAATCTTCGAAGTTTCTTCCAACTTTCCCTAGGAATTTCCGTCCACCTTACCCTGTAAATTATTTTCCAATTCCTTCGGGAAAGCTATTTCAACTTCCCTTGGAAGCTTCTTCTCGATTCGCTCGAAAGGTTCTTCCGTCTCGTCCCGTCAGTTTTTCAACATCCCCGGAACATCATAAAAGCTTCCAGAGTTTGATTGCGGTTCCATTAGTTTCAGGAAAACTTCAGAAACTTTTCAGAAGTTCTGAAACTTCAGAATAGTTCGGACTTTTGGGTAGGTTCCGATAAATTAAAGACAGTTTAATTAACTTCTGTTCAAATCCGAGAGCCCGGGAATCTGAGGAAAGTCCAGAGAACTCCAATGAACTTAAGGAAACTGAAATATTTGAAAACTTCAAAGCCCCAAGAACTTCAAAGAAATTTAATGGTTTTCAGGATAGTTCCATTTGCTTCTGGAGAATTGAGATAACTTTAGGGAAGCATTAGGACATATACATTCAAAGAAATTTCTGAACCTTTGAATGAGTTCCGCATATTTCCGAAAACTTCAGTTATGATGCGAGAGGATCATGAAAGTTATGGAAACGTAAAGTAAGTTACATGAACATTAGATAATTGTGAGAACATTTTAAGGGAAGTTCTGAGTTTTTTTTATCGGCACTTTCTAGATCTTAAAATAAAAATAAAATAAAAATCGGGAAGTTCAGAGAACTTTAATGCTGCATTAATTTGAAAGAAAAAAAAAATGAATGCGCTAATCCAGGAACTTTTAAAGAAGATAAGAGATTTTCCGGTAGTTTCATAGTTATCAGAGAAGATACGAGTACTTCGAGGATGATCAGAGAACTTCAAAACAGCCCCATTAACTTTAGGAAAATTGCCAGAACTTTCAAGGAGATTCGAAGAATTATGGGATATTCCGAAGTGCAGGAAGGAATGTTCCGAAAGCTTCAAGAACATTGTGGGATTTTCAGGGATGTTTATGAATAACAGGAAAATTGCTGGATCAATAGAGCATGTGATGAAATTCAGGGAATATTGTGCTAACATCCCCCATAAATCTATTTATTCCAGATATTTTCCATCTTCTCCTAGAAGTATCTTTCGACTGTTCCGTAAGCCCTCTGACGTCCGATTTTTTCCAGAATTTTCTTTCAATCTACCTTAGGAAGTTTCTCCCAGTGTCTCCTGGAAGTTTATTCCGTCTTCTCCAAGAAGTTCAATTAAAGTTCTACCGGATGTATCTATCGAGTTCTCCCAGAAGTTTCTTTCGTCTTCCTCTGGAAGTTTCTCCATAAATCACTATCCGTAGTTTCTTTTTCCGACTTATTTGAAGGTGGTTCCTCTGGGATTGGCTTCCGATTTCCAAACTTTTCATGCTTTTGGATTTTGAATTTTTTTGCCAGAAGTTTCTCAACATTTGTCTTGAAAGATCCCCATCGGATGTATTTTAGACAGTTTTTTGAACTTCCTTTAAACTTCCTCCACAAGATCTTCTTTAGTCTTCCCCTGGAAGTTTGTCGGTATCATTAAGAGACTAATCCAAATATTTCCCAGAAGTTTCTTCCGACTTACATGGAAAGTACATCTTTCGATTTTAGTCCAAAAATTTGAAAAAAAAATAAAATTAATTAAAATAGTTAATACCGATAAATACCGGTTTTTTAATCTTTTGATACCGATAATAATGAAAACAATCTGGCAACGCTGGTCCTAAGGTAACATTGAAGATAACCTTTTTTGCTGTTCTATTGAAGCATTCCACTAACAACCCAATTTCATTACTTCAGTTATTACTTTACGTTCTTATTATGGTTTATAGCTTATTAGCTGGCTGTAGTGACGTCATTGTCTACGAACGAGACTTTAATGGGGGAGGAGAGTCCAGCCAAAGTTTAGGCTCGGTAAAAATATTTTAAAACTTTAGAAAAGTATACGAGGGGGAAAGTCGGATCTGCAATGTCTAAATCATGGTTTATGTACAGCCCCCGAGCTGAACTGAAATCCGTCGTGTAGTGGTGAGCACTCGCCCAGCGTCATGGAAGCTGCCCACCCATCATCGTACCAAAAATTAGTAATTTATAATCCAACCCACACAAACAATAGTTCAGGTTCGTAGCTATACGTTCCCAATATGGTGTGTTCCATATTTGGCCTAAGGAATTCCCATAAGCCATTATTGTAACACACCATAATAGGAACGTATAGCCGCCATATCTGGCACATCTACCCTATGTATACGATTTTTTTTTGTTTTTCTAAATTTCATGGAGAGCTTATAGCAGACAAGGTTACACGTATCCTAGTTTTAATCAGGGGACACTAAATACTGGGTATATTTCAAAATTACAATTATGGGCGCTCCTCAAAGGTAGCGCACATTCGAAAAAAATCATTAAGTAACCAGCTCTAAATTTACCACGACAGCACTGGTTCATAAATTACATAGACATATTAATAAACTGCAATGACTACATTCTCAACTATATGTCCAAAGTTCAGCAAACATGTGCCCGCTGCAAATGGCCATCCATGAAGTCGGTTTCCATTCTCAAACATAACAACCATCGCTCCTTCGAAGAAACAAGAAACTCGCCAAAGAATCTATTGCTCCTCGCATTCCCACAGCGCAGTACACAATGAAGGATGCCAAGGAAAACCGTACATTTTTCCGCATGTCATCAAGCTGAGTAGTTGGGCTGCAGTCCAAGTTGCATCGCAGCCGAGTTTGAACAGCATGAGGTGAAATCTCGCTGCTCACGTAGAGCCGGGGGAAAATGGTAGGTAGGTACCTCCATAAACGTACGTGGATGAAAAATCGAGTGCGCTTAAATCCTGCTGGCACTTCTTAGGGGTGTGTGAGTGTGTGCTGTTGAGATACACAGGACTACGATCTGGCAGGTTCGTTGTGTGATAGTTAGTTTTTTTTTTCGTCTTGAAAGAAAACTGCAAACTATGCCAATTTCCATTCCATCGACACGTTTGCGTCATCAAATCATGTGGGATGTGTTATTCAAAATGAACCCTCGTCGTCGTAACTCCTGCGAGCATAGAGGCAGCTTATTCAGAGCGGAACGTGTCGCCAGTTCCGATGGTGCTGGCGGATATTAGCCAAATTTTTCCAGCTCGCATTTGAATGTATGTAGAAAGTAGCCATCCAGCCACTCCGTGGTGAGAGACCGGTGCCAAAGGGGCGGAACCGATACGGCTTGCACGCAGATATATGAGCGTTTTATCAGTGATTTATAACGCATATATTCAAATTTATGAATGTAATAAATATATACTCGGAACACGGGTTCGTTCATGTGTGTTAAGGAGGAAGGGGTTTTGGATGATTGAGTTAGTCAGGCGTGATTGCACGATTATTTGTTGACTTTTTGGCCAAAGGCAATATATGTACTCACCATTCACGTGCAGGTAGTAGATTATCACTTTGGGCGGATGCGTCGATATCTGGCACTCGTAGACGCCCTCGTCGTTCTTGTTGGCGGAGGCTATCTTTAGCCTCCAATTGTTGGGGTACTGGAATTCGATCGTGTACCTCGAATCACCGGAGTACGTCTGCTTCCCCACCGTTAGCAGCTGCAGGTCCGTTTCGCCGTGTTTCCGCCGGACCCACGACACCTAGGAACCGAGGAAAGAATAATTGTTTAAACTTTGCCCATTTAGCAAATCTTTCGCAAAGTCGAACAAATTACAGCGTCTGGCTGCTCCGATAAGCTGCTGGGGATTTGTTCTGCTCGATGGACAGAATCCAGCGAAATGGCACAGTCGAACCCATCCGAACGTCCCCCGTTCGGGACAGAACTTTTCTTGTAATCTTTTTCAATCTTCAAAGCGATAGGAAAATGGATGGTAGTGCAGGAGCCGCAGCAGAGAAAGAACAAGCTCAGAGACCCATAGAGGAAGCTCTTTGCGTTCTTCGTTCTACCATAAGTACTAATACTCACCGTTTTATCTTGCAGCAAACTTATCCTACAGCTTAGAAATAAATCATCACCGTTCTGCACCGTGATGTTGGTAACGTTGTCCGTTTCAAAGTGCGGACCGTACCTGTTGGGGGGAGATGGAGAGATAAAATGGAAAAAGTGGGTCAATTGGAAAAAAACGAGAAAAACGAGAAACGGGTTGAATCAAAGGATGAATGGCCACTCGTAAAAGCTTTGTAACTCAGGAGTCGTTGATTCGCTCGGATGGGAAGTAATTGTGTTTTTAAATATTCAGTTACATTGAATTGTTGCAGAAGTGGGGATACAATTGAATTACACATTGTTCGAATAAATACTGATAAAGGTTAATATTGCTGTGTGCGTCAGGAGAGCCAACTCATTTTGATCTTCCTTTACTTTGAACTTCAGTGGTCTTACACATTGCTGCAGTTTTCACCGCCAATCCTCAGATCTCATCCCCAGACAAGTCACGAATGACCAAAAATGACTTTAATAATAAAAGAAAATTTAAACATTGCATATTCAAACCTGGTATTAGAATATTTCGTTAATTCGTCCTTGCATTTGATTGCGATCAGCTCGTTGACGCTGACCGTGCTGCGCATAAAAATGAACTTCAGCAAGTTTTGCCAGGATGAAAAATAAACGACGTTAAAATTTTCTTGCACATCATCGTTTGCGTACACTGATAAATTAATCTATGCTCATTTTGTTGAAAATTTAATCAATTTGAAAATAAACTCAGTTTAATCAATTCGAATGATGATCATGTTAAGTTAACGATTTACATAGTTGGAGATGCTTAAAATCAAATAACAGAATTAAAGTGATAATTTCATACGATAGATGAGAAGATGAATGTTTATAGTTGATGCTTACGTCACATGACGACTTGAGTGTGAAATAATCGATAGAACTGTTTCCGCACATCGAATGTACGAGAGCAAATCGGCGATCACCTATTTTGCCAGTTGTGGTGTAGAGAAATCCCCAACACCATCCCTCCCCAGCAGGGGAGTTTGGTAAAGGAGATGAGCGATTCGTGTCTTCATCAAAATTGACCATCCCATCCCGTGTAACTCTTCACAGGGGTTCTTTTTAATTTTCTCATAAATCTCATTTAAATCATCCCAGAATTTCCACAGAGAACCACTATATAGTTTTGCTGAGGAATGGCTGAATTTCCAGGTTAAATTTAACTCGTACACACTACGAAAAATTCATATAAATTACGGTTCCCTGAGACTGACACATGTAAGTGGTCCTTTTGACATAAGAATCAGTTGAAAGAAACGAGAAAATCAATTCAATCAAACGTTCTCTTCGTCGAGTTGCTTATGTTTCGGTATGAGAACACGTAATTTTACATGAAAGTGAAGTCAACTATGTAAATCAGTTGAAGATGCTAGGTATGTAGATGAGGAAATGAAGGTATAGGGTTGATAGTTCCGTTAGAGTACGGCAGTGTGAAATTGTATATATATAGAGAGTAGAAAGCGAGCAAGGACAATTTTTATGAAGGTACAAATTGATTTGATCATCTATCTTTACCAAACTCCCCCGTTGGAGAGGGATGGTGTTAACAATTCTCGATAGAGCTGGAATTAGGGCGTAACAGCTTTTGTAAACAGTGACTTCTCTTGATGATTTCTCGGAAGCCATGGCTCTCTCTGGCAAATCGACGTCACCATCGAGTAGAGGAAGACTTCTCCTACCCGATGGATATGATGGTTTGTGTAGGCGTGCCTTGAATTCCGATAAATCAACAAGAGAAGTCATTGTTTACAAAGGCTGTTACGCCCTAATTCCAGCTCTATCTAGAATTGTTCCAATCGAATCTTCAAAATGCATTGCTTTGCTCGATTGGAACAACTGTTTGCAGTTTTATGGTGATAGTTTTCCATACTTTTACTAGAGTGCTTTAGGTTTCACTATATGAACGGGATGAGAATGATTCTAGGAGAACCGGCTAACATGGAATTTTTGAAAGGGTTTCTGAACAGTAATTTAAAAAATCTTTGGAGCGGCACTGGTGGTTTAGTGGTAAGCGTCCTGGGTTCAATCGCAGTCGATCTCAGATCACGGGATCAAAGCCGTTGGTGCACGGTCCATGGGTCGATAGGTAGGGTGGGTCCAGGTATGGAGGCTGCCTCCCTGGCGTCTGTAGCATTGGTACTCAGTACGGAAAACAGATCGTCAGAAAGCAAATCAAGGAAAAAAGTAGAAGGGTCTGTGCCTAGGGGCATGAACGGGAGCTAGACGTAGGACCGCTAGGGCACGGAACAAATGTGAAGAAATTTTAGTTCTCTTAATTGATCAATCATCAATTATCTTAACTCTGTTCGTTTTTGATTCGTAGGCGTACCAAATTTGTAGTATTTTTTTGACGTAGGACTACGTTTGTGATTTCTATATGGGGGTATACTTCGTGAAAACCGTAAATGGAACATGTAACAAAATTATGAAAGATTTTGAACGTTAATAAGTCAGCTTACCCTGGACCAATTTCAATAATTTTATCATCAATCGATCTGTTATATTTCTACACATCTGATAGATTGAAAACTTTGTCATTTTTCAAAAGGTCACTATTGAAAATTTAACGGATGTGCAACTGTTGCTATGATGATTAAAATTATCACCGATTGCCTGCGAAAATCGATTTCCCTAACACCGATCTCACCAAACGGTGTTTATTCAATCCCCGCGTTGTGAGTGGTGGTGTTCTCCAGTAAACAACGAAAGGCTGCCTGCAAGCAGCGAGCTGCAGCCCACATGAGCATTAGACTGATGCAAAATTCGACTTTTTCGCTTCACAGTGCTTAAATGGTTTCAAATCGGGTCCTGAGTAGCCTCTCAAAGTTACATCTCATTTGGTTAGAAACAGACTTCGCACAAGCCATTTGAAGTTTGCATGTAAATTAGTATGGGAAATCTCAACTTTTTGTTCATTGCCTTCTAGTTTTTGCCCATATTAAGCTTCGAAACAGTTTGACAATTATTCTTATAGATTTTTTTTTTCAGCTACAACTTTGCTGAAGATCGTTTCTATGTAAAACAAGACAGGAAAAAGTTATTAATTATTTAAGAGATTGGTAAACTTACGACATGATCAAGCAGCTGCTCTGTGGACAACACTGTATTTTGCAGTGTGACATAGTAGCCATAATTTTTGTGTCCTATTCAACGCCCCAGAAATACCAATGGTGCCTGCTGAGCAGTTGATTGAGCATGATCATAAGACATCAGTGCATTGAACCATTGATAACTTTCGATCCTTCCAATTAATCAAAAAATGGTCTTCAGCAAAGTTGTAGCTGAGAAAATTTCCTACAAGCGAGTTTGAAAGCTTTTGAAGCAGACCGATATGGTAAATTATTAGATAGACATGAACAAAAATCTTGGTTTTACCATAGTAATTCCCATACAAACTTCAAATGGTTTGTGCCATCTCAGTTTCTCACCACATGGGTTCAAATTTTGAGAGGTTAGTCAGGATCCGATTTGGAATCGTTTAAGTATTGTGGAGCGAAAATTTCAAATTTTGCATCACTCTAATGAGCATCCATAGAAGGAGGAAGAAGCCGCACAGCTATTGTTCGGAATCATTAGCTCTTCATGAGTTGCTGTGGGCCATCTATGTCAAGTGCGTCATGGTATAAACAGAGAGAACCCCGCTTAAATTCCTATTCTTACACAAAACACAGGCCCCTGCTGCAGTTAACAAATAAGATTTATTATATAAGATCATGTCACCATTGCGTACAACCAACCGGTGGAAACTAACGATTTAAAATTGGCTCACTACTTGACTAGCCTATTGGTCCCAAACAAATTGATTAACGTACCCAATTCTAGTCGAGATTCTAGTACTACACTATGTTTGTTTTGATTTGCTATGAAAGTTTGACAGCTAAAATTAGGGGTTCGTGGATTTTCATATGTTTCGAGGGGTGCATCGATTAGCTTGGGACCGAAGAGAGTACCAGAGCTGAGCCAAAAAGTTGAGCACGTTTCTTCGGGATCTTCTAGTCTTAGAGTTACCTCTATGTTACCTTCGGGATCTTCTAGTCTTAGAGTTACCTCTATGGTACAAGCATAGAGGTAACTCTAAGACAAGAAGGTCCCGAAGAAACGTGCTCAACTTTTTGGCTCAGCTCTGGTACTCCCTTCGGTCCCAAGCTAATCGATGCACCCCTCGAAACATAGGAAAATCGATGAACCCCTTATGTTATCTGTCAAACTTCCATAGCGAATCAAAACAAACATAGTGTAGTACTACAATCTCGACTAGAATTGGGTACGTTAATCAATTTGCTTGGGACCAGTAGGCCCAACAGGTGAGCCAATTTTAAATCGTTAGTTTCCACCGGTTCGTATAACCCCATAGGGCTATCCCTTGTAGTTTTTTGAGAATTTTAATTTTGATTGCACAATACATGTTGTCGCTCTTACAACTTTGCTGATGACCACTTTTCGGTTAAAGCTAAGTGTTCTGAAGGTTACTAACCTTAAAATTGAATTAATGCACTAAATTGTAAGATTGAATTATCCGCAATGTATGCTTATAATTTCTAACTAATCCTATGATTTGCAGCTTTGAAGCCTGATATAATATACTGCTATCGAAAGTTAGTGCGAGGGGTTTCATTCCGGCAACAATTCTTCAAAAAAAAAAAAAATATCTTTAACGATGCCAAACCCTCCGGATCCTCCGCCAACGCCAAGAGAAAATGAGGTTAGTTGTGTGGCGTGCAACAAGTCTGATTTGCCGGGCAACTTCGTTCAATGTGACGCTTGTGATTCCTGGTGGCACTTTGCGTGTGCCGGCGTCGATTCATCGGTTAGTGAACGAGCATGGATGTGTACCAAGTGCGAAGCCGCCCCCAGTGTGTCGACAAAAAGCAGTAAATCGAGCAAAAGTGGATCGACTATCGCTCGCGATCTTGAACAACTGAACAACGATCAGCAGGCAAATTTGAAGTTGCAGATAATGTTTCTGGAGCAGCAACAAAAGCTGCACGATAAGGCTAGAGCAGCTGAAGAGACCCGAAGTCAGGTTAGTCGTCATGCACATAATCGACGGGTGCGGCAATGGTTAGA